CCCCCGCCAGCGCGCCAGAATACGCGCCGCGCGGGGGGTGGGGCGGGGGGGGGGGGGGGAGACACAGGAACATCTGTCATCCCGGGCGTAGGCGACTGGGTTGCACCCTGGCTGCCCTCGCTCTGAGCAATTTTTAGAAAAGCAGGGAGTAAGAAATGGATGGCAGGCAGGTATGAATCCCGTGAAACACACCTGGGGCCGCACGAGTCTACCTCTGCTAGGGAATCGGCAAGCGAGAAGGCGGTTCCGCGTTCCCAACCTGGGGCCCCTGCAGGACCATGGACTTCTGCTCCCCGGATTCTCAACCATGGTTATGCTGGGTGGGCAACTCTGGGAGGTGAAGTCCATGCTGCTGGAGGGGCCCCGGGTTGCGGAGGGCAGAGACACGGGTCAAGATGCTGGATCGCTTCACCAATCTTTCACCCGTCAGCAAAGCGGTGGTGGTGCTCTTGAACACATCAGGTCAGAGTGGAACTGGAACTGAGTGAGCGCTCTTCTCTCCCTTCAGAAAAATAGCCGTGTTGGGGGAAATTCTTTGCAACTTTACACAAAGGAAAAAATTAACAAAACCTCACCATCACAGTTATTGCCTGGCCAAAGTAGGGAACCTTTCAAGAAGCGAAAATGGGGCTTTTTGCCCTTAGAAAGTAACTGCAAGGGGCCATTTGTGTGTGTGGGGGGGGATTAACCCCCTTCCCCCTATTTATGTTTGGTTTATTGCAATATTCGTAATCTGCCTTAAGGGTGGATCACAGAGCAGAGTGCGATTAGCTAAACCATTTTAAAAACCAGCCACAACACCAGAAGAAGGCAGAAAATCACTCCCGTAACATAGCTCCACAATCCAGTTTTCACAAAGGTGAGTTACTTAGCAATTTATTTATTTATTATACTTCTATACCTCTGAATCTACCCAAGATTCATGAATTTTCAGCTAGCCAATAAATATCTGTAATACAGTAGAACACTTAAAAATCTTGCCTCCGCCCCCCTGCCCCCCCCCCCATTGCTGTGAATAGCAAATAGGTCTTCACATTCACTTGCCACTGGCTGAATGAGATCTGTGATGGGCAGGCCATCTTCAGATGCCACAGCTCCTCATCTCTCCAGGTGCTGGACTATACCCACCAGAACAAGACAGAGGACTCTGGCCATGTTCCTCCTTGCTCTCTGGCTATTTAGGCTAAAGATAAGGAATCTGTTTATGCATTTGTGCTTATCTGAGGATCAAAAACAGCCAGATGTTTCTTTGAAGGCCATCAGCTCCCTCTCAGTTCTTTGATCTTCTTGCCTCCCTGCATTAGTTTGAAGAGGAGATTTTGGACATCTGCTTCCAGCTGCTGGACACCAACCCCAAGTTCCTCCTCAATCAAGACAAGGACTGTTCTCGCCGCAACAGCCCAGTCTACGTCAGCAGGGTGGTGAGCGCCATGGTAAGACAATGGATCAGAATGGATTTCTGTGCCAAGTTTGGCTAGCACTTTGTTGACAGATGGGACCAAATTAAAAAGGATTCCCACTTTTTCAGGCCTTGCAGGATTCCTCCTACACTAAAGTCAGCAAGGCTTAAGGTTTATCTGAAGTGTAAACAGGCGGACCTACAAAAACAAAGTCTGGCAAACCTGTGTTATTTCGCCCTGAGCTGTTGTTTCCTTGGCTGCAGGTCAACTGTAACGATGATCAAGGCATCCTCTTTGGACGCTGGGATAACTATTATGGTGATGGGGTGAGCCCTACGACTTGGAGTGGGAGTGTGGACATCCTTCGGAGGTGGCAGAAGTACGCGTGCAAACCTGTTCGGTATGGGCAATGCTGGGTCTTCGCTGCAGTGGCCTGCACAGGTGAGAATCCACAGCTGGTCAAGATTCTGCCCACTTTGCCACCATCACTGTGGTGCAGCTGGTTGGAGGGGGAAGTCCAAGAGAGATGTCTCAGCCCAACAAGGTAGAAACCGATGCCGTGTAGGTCAGGACTACTTTTATTGGAACAGGATCTTGCAAGTCTAAAGGTGCTCCCTGCCCCCAACCTTATCTCGTGTGAACTTGGGAGGGGTTGGTTATTTTCTTGGCCCGGGCTCAAGCCCCTCCTGTTGGACCGTTGCCTTCATAGTGACTCTTCCTCCTGCCCTTCAAGGCCATTCCCTCTGCCCTCTACAAGATGTAACAAATGTGGTGGGATTCAACAGAAATCAGAGCTCGGGTTTGCTCGGTTGATTGTCATCAGGGTGGGGTCAAAAAAGTCAAGACGGCAGCCACAACCATGTGACCAACGCCCTGCCTCCACGTGGAGAGGGGCAAGGCTTCACTCGTATGGTTGCAGCTAAAATCTTGACTTTTTGGCCACTCCATGGGTAGCCGATTCTCAGATAATTCTCCTCCTTATACTTTGAGTGCAAATATATAGATCTATATCTACTTCATCTGAAAGTCCACCCCCCAAATTCCAGGCTGGCCTTTGTAAGGCTTGGGGAGGACGGCATGAAAATTCCTCAATGTAATTAAAGCAGCGACGGGCAGCTTTGCAAAAGGAAAGTCCCGTTTGCTTCCCAAACCGCCTCCCCTGCAGCTCTCACTCGTCACAGGCGGAGGGGCTCGGCCCGGGTTGTGTGCCGCAAGACCCCGATGGCAGACGTCAAACTGATGAGCATGCTTGGCAGGCGGTGGTCTCGGGTGATCCTTCGGTGGCTGAGTTTGATCTAGCAGGGCCCCTGCGCCACGGAGCAGGGGAGAGAGATGAAACTCTCAGCTATTGACGGGGAACTGCAAACATGATTTTAGAGGTCCTCAGGCAGGGACACTTTAATTCAGTGTTTCTCAGCCTCAGCAACTTGAAGCTGTGTGGACTTCAACTCCCAGAATTCC